TACGTGCAAGAACTGTGCTGTCAGCATTACGTGCAAGATCTGTGCTGTCTACATTATGTGCGTGCAAGAACTGTGCTGTCAACATTACGTGCAAGAACCTTGCTGTCAACATTACGTGCAAGAACTGTGCTGTCAGCATTACATGCAAGAACTGTGCTGTCAGCATTACGTACAAGAACTATGCTGTCAATATTACGTGCAAGAACTGTGCTGTCAATATTATGTACAAGAACTGCGCTGTCAATATTATGTACAAGAACTTTGCTGTCAATATTATGTACAAGAACTGTGCTGTCAATATTATGTACAAGAACTGTGCTGTCAACATTACGTGCAAGAACTGTGCTGTCAATATTATGTGTAAGAACTGTGCTGTCAACGTTACCTGCAAGAACTGTGCTGTCAACATTACGGTCAAGAAGTGTGCTGTCAACATTACGGTCAAGAACTGTGCTGTCAACATTACGTGCAAGAACTGTGCTGTCAACACTATGTGCAAGAACTGTGCTGTTAACATCACGTGCAAGAACTGTGCTGTCAACATTATGTGCAAGAACTGTGCTGTCAACATTACGTACAAGAACTGTGCTGTCAACAGTAGATGCAAGAACTGTGCTGTCAACATTAAGTTTAAGAACTGTGCATTTTGCTTACTGCTCAATAGTGAGCGGAGGTGCTAGATGGCCTTGTTGTAGTTTGTCAAGAGCGGCAGGTTTGAAGCAGTCATAGACAGTCTTCGGAGGTGAGAAAGTAATTTATGCCTGTATTGGTCTTGTTGTTGTTTGTTTGTGCAATGTTAGTGGTTTTGTAGAATGTAGAGACAGTCAAAGGTGACAATCTGTGCCTCACCAGAGTACAGCATCCGCAGACAGTGCACCATTCTGGCAGACTGGCTGAGCTGCTCTGTGTACTGTACTAGCCAATCACGGCCACATTACAAGTTGGTGCTCGGTGGGTGAATCTGAAGGCCAGTTACAAAACCTGTCCTGGCCTCGTCTACGGTGCAAACACCGTACTGGTCCTCAGGGTTGCAACCCACAACAGTGTGGTTGACTCGCACAATCACGAGGCTTCCCAGTGGTCGGCGTGTATAATGAAGAAGAAGGTTCAGAAGAGGAGAGAGAGGGTGCGCCTACAGTCATGGAACATCCACAAAAGGTGATCTGCCAGCATCGCACCTCTCACGAAACAAAGAATTAAACACAAAATATTGTGAATATTAGTCCCCCCTGAAAAGCTGTATAGAAAACAACGACAACAGGTGACCTTAGGAGAGGGGATGACGAGCATGTAAATATAAAAAATTACATTTTAATTACAATTAATCCTTAACCTATACCGCGTATGAAATAAGAATTTAATAGTATTTTTAAAATAAAACTAAAAGTTTTCAAAAATTGTATATGTTATGAATTTTTTTTTCAAAATTTGCATAAAAACTACTTCCTTTTTTTTTAAAAATTAGGATTTTTTTCTTTTATATGGAAACTTTTGCATACAGTAGTTATCTCCAGTATCCTCTAAAAAAATTTTTCAATGTAAAACACAGAATTGATTGGTTATATGAATTACTAGTTAATCAGCTAGCAGTAAGTGGTGGTCGCTTGCAACTGTTATCTGAAATAATAGTCGTCGGTAAGTAGGGGTCACTTAACTACTGTGTACCGTGTTCTGACCCCCATATGATCTCGGGGGTCACATGTATGCCAGTAGCACGGATGACCTCGGGGGTCATATGTATTCCAGTAGCTCGGGGGTCATATGTATGCTAGCAGCTCGGGGGTCATATGTATGCTCGTAGCTCAGTTGACCTCGGGGGTCATATGTATGCTCGAAGCTCGGGTGACCTCGGGGATCATATGTATGCTAGCAGCTCGGGGTCATATGTATGCTCGTAGCTCAGTTGACCTCGGGGGTCATATGTATGCTCGTAGCTCGGGTGGCCTCGGGGGTCATATGTATGCTCGTAGCTCGGGTGACCTCGGGGGTCATATGTATGCTCGGGGGTCATATGTATGCTCGTAGCTCGGGTGACCTCGGGGGTCATATGTATGCTAGTAGCTCGGGTGACCTCGGGGGTCATATGTATGCTCGTAGCTTGGGTGACCTCGGGGGTCATATGTATGCTCGTAGTTCGGGTGACCTCAGGGGTCATATGTATGCTCGTAGCTTGGGTGACCTTAGGGGTCATATGTATGCTCGTTGCTCTTGTGACCACGGGGGTCATATGAATGCTCGTAGCTCAGGTGACCTCAGGGGTCATATGTATGCTCGTAGTTCGGGTGACCTCTGAGGTCATATGTATGCTCGTAGCTCGGGTGACCTCGGGGATCATATGTATGCTCGTCGCTCGGGTGACCTCTGAGGTCATATGTATGCTCGTAGCTCGGGTGACCTCGGGGATCATATGTATGCTCGTAGCTCGGGTGACCTCGGGGGTCATATGTATGCTCGTAGCTCGGGTGACCTCTGAGGTCATATGTATGCTCGTAGCTCGGCTGACCTCGGGGAGTCATGTGTGGGGGTAAACCTGACTCCAATAACTAATAATTAAATATATACATCGATAGCTATGAAGGACCACCACTTTTTGAGAAAAAGTGGAAAACAAAATAAAGCAATGGAAAAACTGATCCCAAGAACTAGTGTCCTATGGATCTTAGTGAAACTATTTCTGATATAAATGGAGTCAAATTAACTTACACAAAATTGGGGGGATACATGCTAAAAGATTAATACATCCCTAGCATTATTCTGGTGCTGGTTCTTCACCAGAGTAAATAAAATATGAAAGTAAATAAGGTTGATTATATAATATTAATTGGAGGTAAATACTCCTCAATGTTGTTGTTGTTGTTAAAGATTCGCTACCTTGAACAAAAAGTTCCAAGTAACACGGGCTATGGTGAGCCCGTAGGCTCCTCAATATACTACTGAAATGTTGAACAGTATCAGTAAATCAATGGGTTAGTGTAATTGATCTCCTTGGGAGATCACTACTGTAACTACAGAATTATTACTACAGATAAAAAAGGGAGAGCTTAGCTGTAAATCTAGTGAGGTGTAATCAGTTGCTATGCTCCACCGACGACGTGTTGCATAGGGCAAATTGTTGCACGGAACGATGGGGAAGCCTAACACCTCGGTTGGCGTCGCCTTGGTACTGAAAGGCAATTACATTGTAGAAATCTTCTACATAATAAGTATCTACAAATAAATCCTAAATCATGAGGATAACTGAAGGAAATTTCAGCCAATATCTGTGCAATTTATATTCAAGCACTGTAAATTCTTTCCTTTGATTTTTATGAAAATAATCATCTATTTAGATGGTAAATTTACTTAAGACACGTACGGGATTGTATTATTTGTTCTACGGCCTAACGACAACTAGCCCAAATGTTAATTGTGGCCACAGTAACAAAAAGGTAAACCTAGCTGCCGAGCCGCGTGTCCATTGATGTAGAGACTTGAGCAATTCTTCGTCCTCCAGCTGCTGCTTGAAAGGCGTTGACTTTGGAATTGCTCATATGCTAGTCTGGGACACGGCTATTGTGCCAGAAAACATGGAACCGCTCTACTGGTCGTGGGAGCGAAATAAGTAGGATCAAAATGTAGCTCTGCTACACGCTGACAATGGCGTCTGCGTCGTCTTCTCTTGTTCTCTCGTGTCTAGTGTGACGCTCTCCCGTCTGCCTCCTCTTCCTTATTGCGCATGCGCGGCTCTCGATAGACATCTCGAGCGTAAATGGATATGTATATATCGCAATTGACTAAGAAAGGAAGAGGTAGTGACGAGTAATAATATCACATTAAATTCTTCTGTGATAAAATAGAATTTCTCGTAACATAAATTGACTTATTAAAGTTGTGCAGCCAATCGAGAAAATTTAAAGTGAAATCATTTACATCAAAGTAATTTCCTCTAGAATGTTTGATATTAACTAAAGAAGGGAGTTCCAGTAAGTAGTAGTATACTACGAAATTAAACTTATTAGTAAGGAAGGAAGGAATTATCAGGCGGAAAGCGCCAAGCCATGATGACTATACAGCAAACTTATTAGTAAGTAACTATTTTTAGTAAAGAAAATGATAAACTGGACTCTTGTTATAAATTCAACTAAATGTTGAGAGAATTCATGTTACAGCCTGTCGTTCCTCACGTCGTCACTCTATCTAGGAAGAATCTGGCAATATGAGTAAATAAATCATGATAAGGATTAAATCTACAAGTTAGCAATTTTAGTAACTACTTGTGGTTAATACAAAGGCTGCATAAAATACAAAAATGTATAAAACTGTTGGATATTTCCAACATAACTCCGGGGAGAGAAAATTCGGGTTATAGTTCAGGTATTAGTACTAACGTACACCTGTTTCTCTATCCTGAAGTTATATTCATGGTTTAGTAGGTTAGTACGCACCTAACGAATGTCCTGAATCTGTGGTAGATGACTAAGTCAACATGGGGACGTAAATAAACATTGAAAATTATTAAATAATTCCTTTGTAAGAGACAGAAGGATATTAACAAAAATAAATTATGAATAATTGATTCATTTAAGATTAAAGAGACCTCATCAATACAGTGAGGCTACTGTCCATGGTCTCTATGACTCATAACTAATTACTGGACATCAACTCATCACTGTATCAGCGTGGTCACCTCAAGTTTAAATGATAAGTTATCTACTCTTGAATAGAATCAAAATATTGTTTAAGTTTCTGTTTGCAGTTCTGAGCAGCAACTCTTGATGGTCTTGTGCTCCGTTGAGTAGAATCACTGTTCTCTGAAACTTGGGTTACACGTGTATCTGTAAAACACTCGTGTTCTGCTAACTCTAAAGGTACTAATTTCTCCAGTGTTTTCAAGGTAGTAGTGTCTCGACACTGAACTTTAACAATTCGTAAAACACCATGGCGGTCAGGATGGATGTCAACAATTTTACCTATAGGCCAATCTGACCTGGGTCCATCACTGTCTACTAGGGCAAGATCACCTGGTTTAAGTTGAACTTTATTGTATGGGCTTGCAGCTCCATAATGATATTCTCTTAATGCAGTTGAATATTCACGTGTCCAGACTTCATTCCATTTCTCTATTACTCTTGAAAGGTGTCTATAACTCTCCACCAAGTCACTTGCCTTGACACACGAAGGGTCAGCTGGATCCTCGTCTCCTAGAGATATTAGAGGGCTCAGAAGACCACCATGAATCAAATGAGATGGACTTAGGGGTTCTCTTTGGGAGAAATCTTCTGTTAAGTAGGTTAGAGGTCTGTTGTTGACTCGTGCTTCAATTTCCACGACAAGGGTCTGTAACTCGGTGAGATTAATTTTCTGCCGGTGTAAGGTTTTTCTTAGGCATTTCTTAACAGTTCCCACCATTCTTTCGTAAAAACTGCGTGCCATGGTGCTCTTGGAGGAATAAATTTCCAATAGCATTGTCTCTGTTTGAGCACAGAATGTACTTCTGGATGGTTCCATATTTCTTGTAAGCAAGCTTCTCCTGCCACGAAGTTAGATCCATTATCTGAGATCATTAATTTTGGGCAAGATCTTCGTGCAGCAAATCTGCGAAAGGCTTGCAGAAAGGCTTCTGCACTCATGTCAGAAGTGACTTCTAAATGTACTCCGCGTGTGGTAGCACACGTGAAAAGGCAAATGTAGGCTTTCACTGGAATCTTGTCTGGTGTGCCTGTTAAAATTAGTGCTCCTGTATAGTCGACACCTGTGGTTTCAAAGGGACGAAGGTGGACGACTCGCTCCTTAGGTAGGGGCGGTGGACCTGGATAAGGACACACTCGAGCATCATATCTCTTGCAGATTACACAAGACTTTATTAAAGATTTGACAGTTTGGCGACCTTGGGGAAGCCAAAAACGTTGTCTGATTTCAGTAAGAGTATCTAATACTCCACCATGCAATGTATTATGCTCATGGTAATGTAAAACTATGAGTTTAGTAATGATGTGGTGACGTGGAAGAAGTATAGGATTCTTCGTATCTAAATTTATTTCTGCATGAAGCAGACGTCCGCCGCATCTCAAAATGTTATAGTTGTCTGAGTCAAGCCAGATACCAAGAGACTTACTCAACTTTTCTGGGAGATGTTCATATTCCTTCCCATAAGTCTCTTGTTGAGCTTGTTTGACCCAATATTTGATGGAACTAGGAAATCGATACTTGATCCCCATCTTGTTGATGAAATCAAATACCATTTCTGTAACTCTTAGTAATTTACTTAAATTGGAATAACGATGAGGATTGATAGCTAAAGTTCGAGGGGGTTCTGGATCCACAACAGGGGTAGTGATATTGGTCACAAAGACTTGCGGCTTCTGTTGGGGCCACCGACCACTAACTAGCCATTGGGGTACATTAAACCACATCTCGGTTTTAACTAATTGCTTTAAAGTCAAACCTCTGGATAAATAGTCAGCTGGATTGTCCTTGGTTGGGACGTGTCTTAATTTATAACCAGCAGACAATTCTCGAATTTCCCTTACTCAATTGCTGACATAGGGAGTTTTGTTGTTGTCGTTTTTTACCCACTGCAATACTGCCTCATTGTCTGACCACACTACTATTTCACCAAGGTGAACATTACTGAGGGTTTTGATCAGGCAATGAGCCAGTCTTACACCTACTAATAAGGCAGTTAATTCCATTTGGGGTAGTGACCTCCTTTTAATCGGGGCTACCCTTGCCTTAGATGTAAGCACAAATGATTGTTGAGTATTAACTAGATAGGCTACTGAGCCATACACTTTGCCTGAAGCATCGCAGAATACATGTAAATTTGTGGGTAAATTTAGTCCTAAGGTATTTCGGGGAAACTGTAGAATACTAAGTTTGTTGTAATCAGGAATCAACTGCTGCCATTTTTCTTGGAGATCCTCCGGCAACGTTTCATCCCACCTCAAATTCCTTTGCCAGCACTCCTGCATAAGGAGTTTACCCTTAATTAGAATAGGACTGAGTAGGCCTAAAGGGTCAAATGGCTTGCTGACATGGGAGAGTAGTTTTCTCATGGTTAGAGGTGAATGATTGAAATCCACTGACTTGATATTCAATTTGTGGAAGTATTCCACTCCATACCTAAGACTTTCAATTTGTGAGGTACCTTATAATCAGGGAATTCTTCCTCGATTATTTGGTTGAGTTGTTTATTGTTGGAGGCCCACGACTGTAGGGTGCATGTTAGCTCCCAACAGTTCACGATTAGCCTCATGGGAGATTTCCACTAGTTTATTCTCATCATTAGTGGTTCCTTGAAAATTATCAACGTATAAATTGTTGCTCATCTCAGTCTTGTAGGGGCTATTAGACTTCTTAAGATGTGTATCCAGAGTAGCCTGGAGTAAGAATGGTGAAGATGTCGCTCCAAACAGTACTGAGGCAAATCTATAAGTAATGATTTCGCTATTAGGATCCTGTGGATCTTTCACCTAGAGAAATTTAGTAAAATCACGATCCGTCTCTTGTAAGCCTACTCTTAAAAAGGCTTTACTAATGTTGGCTGTATAGGCAAAAACACCAGAACGAAATCGTAATAAGACATCTTGTAGTCTTTGGGTTAGGCTAGGCCCAGTTTGTAGAGAATCATTTAGTGACACGCTGTCTGCCTTTAATTTGGCACTACAATTAAATACAATCCTGATTGGTGTTGTTACTGAATCTTTCAGGACAGCATGATGTGGCAAATAATGGCCTGTCTTATGGTTGTCTTCTTCAACAACTTCTATAAATTTGTTAGCAAGTTGTTGCTGTATCGCATGATACAGTTGCAATTTATCTTGTTCCTTCCGTAGCCTAGCTAATTGAGAATTTAATTGGGTTGTGGCCATGAAATAATTTACTGGAAGCTGTGGGTGGTTCAGCATGATACAGTTGCAATTTATCTGGTTGCTTCCGTAGCCTAGCTAATTGAGAATTTAATTGGGTTGAGGCCATGAAATAATTTACTGGAAGCTGTGGGTGGTTCAGCTTCCATGGGAGTCTCACCCAATATTGATTATCTTGGAAAATCACAGTATCAAGATATTGTTGATACGTCCATGTGTCATCTGGACTGGGTTGATCAGGGACTATGCCTAAGGTGTCCAAATCCCATAATTTGTGAACAGGGGGATTGGACTCATCATCCTCAGTTGTAGCTCAGGTGACCTCGGGGATCATATGTATGCTCGTAGCTCGGGTGACCTCGGGGGCCATATGTATGTTTGTATACAGACGAGGAGTCACAATAACGTGGCTGAAATATGTTGACCAACCACACACTAGAAAGTGTAGGAACGACGACGTTTGAGAGAAGACCTGAAGAACCTGGGGTAGAGAGCGGAAACTTTTCATTCGGAGAGAGAGAGGGAACTCTTCCTCGGGAGAAAGGGAACTCTTCCTAGGGAGAGAGGGAACTCTTCCTGGGGAGAGAGAAGGAACCCTTCCGGAGAGAGAGGGAACTCTTTCTGGGAAGAGAGAACGGGAACCCTTCCTGGGGAGACAGGGAACTCTTCCAGGGGAGACAGAGGGAACTCTTCCTGGGGAGAGAGGGAACTCCTCCTGGGGAGAGAGGGAACTCTTCCTGGGGAGAGAGAGGGAACTGTTCCTGGGGAGAGAGAGGGGGGAACCCTTCCTAAGAGAGAGGGAACTCTTCCTGCTAAGAGAGAGCGGGAACCCTTCCTAGGGAGAGAGGGAACTCTTCCTGGGGAGAGAGGGCACTCTTCCTGGGGAGAGACGGGGAACTCTTCCTGGGGAGAGACAGGGAACTCTTCCTTCAAATTTGTTGAGCGTTTCGTTAATCATCATAAATTTGTTCTCCTGGACGGTAGAGGAACGGTCTCGCTTCATGCAGGTCGGCGTTCAATCCCCGACCGTCATCGTGGTTGGGCAAGAATCCCTCCCCCCACACCCCCCCCCCCCGTCCCATCCCTAATCCTTATCCTGATCCTTTCCAAGTGCTATATAGTCGTAATGGCTGTGCGATTTCCTCTAATAGTTTCCTTTCCTTCCCTTCCTAATTAACTGCGTACCTTGCGTTGATTTCGGGGCTCAACGTCCCCTCGGCCCGGTCCCTGACTCGGCGTAGAACACAGGGGGTTTGTACTTGCCTATAAGTACTTGTCCATCAGTACCTGCCCATCAGTGCCAATCAGTGACTACGGGAATGTAAGGTACACACATGCCTGATATCCGCCTAAAAACGTCAGAAGACAGAAGCGGATTTCAGACAGAGATGTTTGGTGGATATTCTCGGTGGACTTCCCAAGAATTAACTTCGCCGTCTTCAACATGTGCGGGTTGATAAACGTCTCTCCAGTCATGTGTGGCTTTGTTTTGTTTGTTTGTTTGGCAGTTTCCCATTAGACTCAAATGTGATGCCTGCATTGTTGCTGTGCTCTGTTGCCTAAAGCTCTGACGTTTTAGACCAGCTTCCTGGTGCCGAAAGAACTCCAAATCCTTTTTGTATGTTGTGGATACTTTGTCTCTAAGTGACGTTTGAGTTTTGAATATTTCAGAGATTCAACACCGAGGATAAAATTGCACAAAACACATTGTGGCTTCTCGGTGCCATTGCTGGTCACTGTGGTGAAGCCAGGTTACAGATAATCTGAATATTTACTCTATTCTGCAATAGATATGAATTACTGTGAATATGAATTACTGATATAAGAAACAATATATACCAGATGTGCAGAACATGAAGATTAAAAAACCCTCCTTCTAATATATAGTAACACAATGTAACAATATTTGTTCCTGGGCAGTAAGTGATGTTTAGTAATTTCTAACGCCCCCAAAGAATAGAAAATTGTTATTCACACTAGACTTTGCTTTTGTAACCAGGACAGTGATACTTTGAAATATATATTTTTTTCAATTAGAAAACGAGTGAATTTGCGTCTTTTAGTTTACAAAAAGTCTGAAAAATATATTTTATGAATGAAAATTAACATGTATTTATACTTAAATGACCACAAACAATTTCCAAGTGTGTAGTTTTTTTTAGATTTACCATTAAACTGTAAACCCACTTCCACTTATCAGCGCCCAAATGTAGCCCTCCATCATGTTCTGCATAACAGAACAAAGCACATTGTTTTGTATAGCAGAACATATTCTTTGGACTTGGGTAGCAACATTTAAAGTCCAGTATATCCTGGTAGATGCAAATGCCCAGGTTCTTCTTGAATTGATGAAGATGAGCATCAAGGATATGGACTTTAAGGGACATTGTGCAGCCCATTGTACCAGAGTTCTATTCGCAACCAGCTCCACATAGTTGACGTCCGTAGGGCAAGGCCTCGGATTCCATAATGGTGGAGTTTAAGTAGGAGGTAGTTGTGATTAACAAACAGTATCAAAGGCCTTTCTCAGGTCAACGAAGAGTCCAATCGGAAACTCATTTTTGTCAAGGGGCTGACTATGTCGAATTTTGACACTGTAAAAAAAAAAAAAAAACTGACGGGCTGAGTATGTCGAATTTTACGAGGTAGGAGTAGAGCTGTTTGTAGATAATTTTTTCAAATATTTTTGATAGTATTGGTAGGTTTGATATTGGTCTATAGTTGTTTATGTCTGCCGGATTGCCTCCTTTATGAACTGGCGT